GTAGTGGATAGAGTCTCGGCTTTCGGCGCCGGGGTTCGTGAGTTCGAATCCCGCTTGGGCCCTCTCATTTTTCCAATGATCCTACAATATGAATGAAAAAACTGGGTTTGTTAACTTCGTTGTGTGCAAAAGGCACAATATATGTCGATCACGGAATTCGTCTATGCAGTTACGTGCGCGGTTTACAATGTACGGAGCACGTCACGTGTTTGATATGCCATCGACCTACATGGCTACATGTACGCTGGATTGACTCTACAACCAGCATTAAATCTACCGAACCCGAACAGTGTTCGTTTTAAACGTCCCGGGGCATATGTAGTTAGTCATGCGTTCCTCGAATTAGAATAAACGTTACACAATCGGATTGCCACCGATTCGTATATATCGTGTCGAAAAGTGAATTTATATGTCACCCGATCTTTATCGGCGAAACCGTGAATGCTGAGTCACGATCGTTCAACGATTCATTATGTACAATTTTTATTGCCGCTCGACATTTTATTAATCAGTACCGCGGCACGTTATTACACGGACACATTTACGCGTATCGAAGAAGGAATGAACGGAAAAAGTCGCGAAATTGTATATGTACTTTGCAACGATAGGTACTTTAGAGTGTCTCGAGCGAATAGTTTGAGTGATCGCGGCGGAAAGATACTTAATCGCAGTTACGATTGCTCCGCGAATCCTATCATTTGGTCGTTACCGATTTTAGATTGCCATTTTAGATTACCTCTTGACTTAGAATTTAAATAATTCTTTATCAGCTACGGTAAATGAACACGCCGTTATTTCTATGAAATTGTATTGTAAAATTTCGATGATTGTGAAACTGAGGCATAACGTCAGTTAAAATAAAAAAGGCTGCAGTAATTCGCTGCATTTCCCTTCTTAAAATTAGTTGATAAGAGATGGCGAAACTCGACTCCGGTCACGTATAATTCTGTGATAGCTGAACAAGCCGCACGATTCTAAGAAATCTTGTATCAGTGCACCGGTGCATCTTAATCTACTGCGAATGCACCGTTTCTCTGTTGCTTTCGGTCCGCGTATAATGCGTGAATTTTTTTAAACTAATATTTTGTCGTTAAGACTGTTAATAGCTTTTATTTCATTTCATTTATACTTGTTCCTAACTTACACTTATTCCTAAATTGGAAAGATTGAACGGTCATATTATTAACTAATAGGTTCTTTATGCTTTAGATAAGTATATAAAAATCAGTAAATGTCTAAGGCAAGTTTAGTGAATAGAGTAAAGACTATTGCATTAACGGGAAACATTGTACGTGCTAATGGATTTAGTAAATGGTATTTCTACGCATAATAATATGTTTCTTGAGTGTTTACGTAACTTGTCACAATTTACTGGTCTTATCTTGAATAATCGACGGATTCTAAATGTGAGCGTAATTAGGAAGCATGGTTAATCAACAGAACGTCGATCTATGCGACCAATGGACCTTGAGCCTCCTTACGTTTCACCGTATTCCGCTATTTAATCTTGATCGATAATGAAATAAGTGTATGGTTTATTTTAAAACCAAATTGTTTCAGTCAAGCATCATTAATAAGTTGTAAACTTATACAGTAAACGTATAGGATATAAATTGTAAACTTAGTACAAAACACGTAAACATGATATAGAACACTAAAAGTCTTGTATAGAAATATAAATATCTCTAACAAAGTAATCAAATTTTATGAAATATTGAAATAAATCATTCTACATTCCGTTTATGCAAATAGAAAAAGATTACATAACGCGTCGATGACCGAACCAAATCACTATGCAGTTCCATTCTCATCAAACCAAAAGTAATATAACAGTACATATGTATAATAATACAAGAGTAAAAGAGAATGTATGTATTGGAGTATTTATTACTGAAATAAAAATACTTTTATATCAGTGCATGACACGGTTAGTAAATTCTACTATTTAGTAGTAGTATGATTTTTAATAAAACTTTAGTTTCCAATACTTATAGAAATAAAACAGTGTATTTTTATTACACTATTTGTAGTGTTCAGGGGAGTATCCACGATTTTCGTGCGGAGCGGTCGTAGTTCTGGAAAATAAACCGGAGACCTTTCCGATATTTTTCCGCTAAATGAAGTGTTTTTTAGTATTAATTTATCATATAATTTATTATATCTTATTTTGAGCCCATATTTTTCCCTTGCGGGTAGGGGGAGGGGGCGACCTCTGCGCCCCCTTTGAATCCACTACTGGTAGTGTTTGTTATTCCACCAATAACATTCAAGCGTGAAAAGTTAATAATATCAATTGCTACGTTTGCAACGAAATCGAAATAAAAACTTACAAAACAGAGATATTTCTTCCTGTTTATAATGTGCTGTTAAATCCAAAATTTTACTTACATACATTCCCATGTCAGTCTGAAATATTTAATACCATAAAATAGTTCTCACAATCAATGTATAAAAACTAGTTGATCAGCTCAATTAAACGTATAATAAGAAAAAATGCATATGTAAACATAGTCGTTCACGAATATCGTTTCTATTCAAACAAACAGTAACTTTGTGTAACAACATATTTATTTATTAACATATGAAGTAATAATAACTATTTTATAACCATAATATTTGGACAGATAAGAAAAAATCGAATTATACATCTCACAAAAGTGTTGGTACAGTCTCATTATTTGAGACCACAGGTTATATTAATATTTTATCGGACCTTCTTTTGCCTCTAAAAGAGCTCTTAGTCTTTTTGGCATAGAAGGCACTAATTTATACGGTGTTTGGTGGGAATATTTTGCCACTCTTCTTCTAAAGCACTTTAAGTCTTTATTTGTTTATGATGCTGTATTTTTTTGTACTTATTTCCAAATAATCCCAAACATGCTCTATCGGATTTAGATCGGAGGATTAAAATCCAGTAGAGGTGGAGAGAAAAATTGTCTAGGTATGTATTTTCTTTCGGAATCCCGATCTTGTTGAAAGATCCAATTGTTTCTCAACTGTAGTTTTTCCAGCTCGTTCTTCGACTGACTCTTAAGAATATCTGAATATATCCAGCAATCCATAATAGCATTTATAAACCCTAAACTTCCTACTCCAGATACAGTAAATCCTCGATGAGTATTCGAAGGCTCCTCGGCACTGAACATTAAATATTTCATAAACTAATGGTCATATGCGGCTGAAAAAAATGTCATTGGCTTCAGAATTCCAAGGTCTATCACTGTGCAAATCCTAATTAAAAAGTCAGTGTTACACCGGGAACCTCTCTTTGTCAGTGCCGAGGAGCCTTCGAACACTCATCGAGGATTTACTGTACTGTAATTGATCCCGAAACTATGACGTATCTGCTCTATGTTTTACGGTTGGGATCATATTTTTAATTCCAATCCTATATCGCTTTTTCTCCACACTTTACTGTTCCTATCTGACTCAAGAATATTAAATTTGCATTCATCAGTAACTGCAGCTGTTTTCTAAAGTCGTAAATTCTTTCCATTATGTTCTTTCGCAATTTCAATCCTCTTGGTACGATTGATATCGCTAAACAGAGGTTTCTTTCGAGGTCCAGGACTATTGTACCAGGATTTCCTTTAAATCCCTCGAATATTTTCAGAATTTAATATTTTTTCTATATTTTCTTTCCACTTGGGAGGCTATGTTTGAAGAACTTTTTTTAATTGTACACTTGTTGTCGGCTTACTTACAGCACAAATCTCAGATCCCTATTATTTAATATTTTAGAGCGGCCATTACGTGACTGGTTGCCATTGCGAACCATTGTTTAAAATTTTTTTATTATGTAGGTACTGAATAGTAGAATGTTTCTTTCCTACAATTTTTCCAATTTCACGTAAACATTTTTTTCTCTTTATGCAATCCAATGATTAATTCATGAATGTTTATGCTTGTTTTATTTCTGTACCTATGCATTCGTTTTTCTTGAGAGCTTCTTACGAGGGAATGCACAGAAGTGTCCTCCTCCGATTTTGATGAAGCTTCGTATGTCTGTTAAGCAGTCAAAAATAAGGGAGACGTATTTCTTTTATCGACTGAGACGCGACTTTCAGGGGTGAAACCACCCCTCGAAGTTTCGATCTGAAATTTTTTTGTTATAAACAAATTATATTTTCGATAATTTGTTAGCACCATATTATTCTACATAAAAAACCGCAAACCTCGTTCATTAGCTGTTTTCATGTATCTCCTCTGGTTTTCGAGATAGTACTATTGGGTCAAAACTTCGAGGGGTGGTTTCACCCCTTAAACTCGTGTCTCAGTAGATAAAAAAAATACGTATCCCTTATTTTTGACTGCTTAACAGACATACGAAGTTTCATCAAATTCCTTTGTTAGACGTTTTCCGACTGAATACCAAATTATAACGATGTAGACAAAAGGCTATAAAGAAAATTCCCGTCGTAGGTTAGACCATTTCTATGATATAACAACGATTTAGTAAGGTCTACTTTAGTGTACGATCATTTTTGTGAAATGCATAATTAGGTTTTTTCTTATCTGTTCAAGTATTTCTGCAAAATAATACATTTTGTTACAATATAAGTATTATTACCCCATATGTTAATAAATATACATGTTGTTACACGAAGTCATTTTCTATTTCATTTCTATAAACATAACCGTGAGAGATAGCGTAGTTAGATATCAATTTTCTTCTTGATAAATTTTTTATTTCATGCCAAATCTAATTAATTTGTGAACTAATCACTGTACAGTAATTGATAAAATAGAGAAAAAAAAACCTGCGATTCAAAGCTTAGACCACATGGCTTACCGAAACTTTTGTTGCTGTCTTTGTCCTTTGAATCTGTACCTACAGGATTTCCCATTAAGCATGATCGTAATAGTTAACGAGAATTTGAATTTGCATCATTGATACTGTTTTCATGATCACTCAATAAAAATTCCGTCGTTCATTGTAAATTATTAATATTTAATACTGATGTCATAGCAATAATCGAACGATTAAATGAAATTTACAGGTATATACACAATGCGAATGTTGGATAATGGTAGCAATAATGCGTCTGGTCCAACGGGAGCAACGGCCTTGTCGGGAGTTCAGACAGCTGGTGGTACGACCTCTTCGGCAACAGGCGTTACCACACTTCCGGGTGTAACAGACGAAAGGATGGATGCATCCAGCGATAGTGCTGTCAGTAGCATGGGCAGTGAACGAGTACCATCCCTTTCGGATGGTGAATGGATGGAAACTGGATCTAACTCTAGCCACACACAGGCTGATTCTCATTACTCTATGGACTATGCTAGGTGATTGTCATAACCTTAGAATCACTTTGGTGTAATGATAGCAGTTATCACATAAGCTTTGTTAATAATTTTTCGTCATCTAATATAATTTAGCGGTCACCTTAGAATCAATTTATTATTAACCCTTTGCGGCTCAGTGTCACCATGCGGGAACCATTATAGTCTAACTGAAAATAGGTTGAGCATGGCAATGATGTTATATCCGTTAAAAAATGTTTACTACAAAGAATTACGGAATTGGAAAACTAACCATCGAGCCTTACCATTTGCATCTGAAGTTGTTTAAGTTTTAAAGAAAAATCGAGAAACTAGGTACAACAAGGGAAACGAGCTTCTTTAGTGCTATCAGTGAAACATACTTGATACGCACACTGCTCTAAAGTAGTGAACAGATAAAATCGAAAGTTATTCAAATGATAGTAACCTTCTGAATGATATATATATATATCATTCAGAGTTCTGCAATATTGTAAACGAAATTCCTTTTCTTTATAATGATAAGAGTATGCTGGAATACTTTGAAAAAATTGTAATACCTTTTAGCAAATATCGAATGTCGTACGACTGCAGCTACTCCGTTTCCGGAAGAAATGGCGGTTCCCCGAGATGTCAGACAGAACGTACTATGCCTCCAGTTGCCCAGAAAAAGCATCAGATGTTTGCAAAGCGATATTTTCAAGAACAAGGTACAGGTCAGTGTAGACTGAATGTAAAATGAGCGAACGTTTTTTTTTTAACGAAGAAACTGTGATTTATAGTAATTTTATTCGATACATTCTAGGTTCGCCACTCGGAGCTACAGCACATCCGACTACACCGATGAAATACGAATACGATACGCATACAGTTGGTGCCGGAGCTCCAGGAAACGCTTATTCGGGACCAATCGAGGGTGCAGCAGGACCACAACCTGAAATGAAATACAGTTGCAGCGTAGATTTCACTCGGCATCAATCAGGTAAAAAAATACTGATTTTTATTTTATATTTATATTATTTCAATTAAACTTTACGTCTGGAAATGTATTTAAATAACAGGTGTTATTATGGTTTCAGGACGTTCTGCTATAGAACACGTTCATCATAATCATACGTATCACTTACCCGCCGAAAGTTCTGGGTCCCTTCAACGTCCAGTTTCACGCGATAAGAAAGGTATATTTTACAACTTGCAATTATATGAATATACTAGATATTTTAATGTCGTACTACTTATTTTCTAAAATATCTGTGACTTTATATCAGAAATACATGTTTCCATGTTTTTATTTAGTACGTAAAAGTGAAGGTGAAGAACATTTGACCAGGGACGAGAAAAGAGCCAGGGCGTTGAACGTGCCCATTCCGGTACACGATATTATTAATCTTCCTATGGACGAATTTAACGAACGTCTTAGTAAATACGATCTCAGTGAAGCTCAATTGTCTTTAATACGTGACATAAGAAGACGGGGCAAGAATAAAGTTGCCGCTCAAAATTGCCGCAAACGCAAACTAGACCAAATTATTAGCCTTGCCGATGAAGTAAAGGAAATGAGAGACCGTAAGATAAGACTTATTCGTGAACACGAATTCATGCTTCTTGAGAGGCAACGCGTGAAGGACAAATTTAGTCAACTTTACCGTCATGTGTTCCAAGTAAGTATACATTATTAACTATTACTTACTAAATTAACTTATCTATAATATTAGAATTAATTACATTAAGCCAAGAGATTGTATATTCATTTTAATTCTCGATTGGTGTATGTTTTTGGTAATACAAAAGTTCGCATGAAGTTAATCGAGTACTATTACCCTTTTAATAACAGTAATGTGATAAAACTACAAAACTTTACCAATTGAGTAGACATAAGGAAAAATACACATATTCTATAGAATAAGTATACCTATACAAATCCAGAAATTATGGATAAGTAAGAATACTGTTACATCTTTTATAAAATACTTGTAGAATTTATATTCTAGTGTTACATATTTTTAGTAATTGTTTTAAGTTGTTTACCTTAAGTGAATTGCGTGAATAAGTATATGCATATTCAGAAAAGTAAAATTTGTTTTTATTTGCATATGTTTTTATTGCATATTGTTTATATGCATAATCAGAAAAGTAAAACTATTACTTATCTACTTTTTTTTTCAAAAATATCTTTCATTTTGACAACTTTATTGTAGAGTGTGTTTTATATTAATTGTCATTAACGTTATTTTAAATATCAGTATACTTATGTATGCATATTTATGAATTTTTTAGTTATTTACTTTCCACATCAAATAAACTTATTCCTTGATTTACATGAACTATTCGTTACGTATGATTTTTGAAGTGGTTAGAAATCACGTAATTTTTGTTTACTTCTACAAAAACATAAAAAAAGCCCGTGTGCGCTGTAAAAATATTTCTATTAAATTAATTGCAGTAGTATTTACACGAAAAAGACAGTAATGAAAGTTCGGTGATAGAAATTTTAATTTTATTCATTGTCGCTGTTCAGACTAATACATTCCAAAACAGTCAATCAAAAACATCAATCACAAAGATATTTTCATTGATTCGAAATTAATATCGTCATTACTCGAAATATTTCGTACTCCTATTTCAGTTTCATTATTAACTCTTTTTGTCGAAACTATTTTTTATTAAGTTCTCGTAAATTTCTTGATATTTGCTGCAACAGGTTTTTAAATCCTGTTGAAATTTCAATTGATAAATATTTTGTGTGATCAAATTTGGATATATTTAGTCTCATCTTTAAAGTGAAGGTTGTATAATGAGTATCTCTTTTTTTAATTTCTCAAACTATTTTTCACTACCGGAAAAAATTAAGCTTTTGTTGATCAGATGATGATTTTTAAAACGATTATAAATATTTACAGCTTTTTGTGTTAGTATACAGCTACTGATGAGATTATATATTTTTCTGTACTATCTCCAATCCAGACCATCAGTGTTTTCTTCATATTAGTTTCTATTACAGAATTTCTAGTATACAGGGTGGGGCAATAACTATGTCCACTTCGAATATTGCCGTTATTTGTAATAATATGAAAAAATGTTATGTACAAAACTTACACGGTATAGCGGGGGGCATATTGTGACACAAACATTTTCTGCGTGGGTGAAGGCATAGAGGAGATTTCAAGGTCATCTCTATTTTTTTTAATGGAATACTATGTTTTTTTATCGCGCTGTGATAGCCGGTGTTGAGATGACTTCAGCAAGCTATAATTGAAGGTCATGCAAAGTCAAATGTGGTAGTAAAATAAACTTTCTTACATTACAGGAGATGCTCGAAGTGGTGACCGTTTGCGTCAATGCAAAGTTGCAATCTTCGTATCGCTGCATCACGTGCATGTCTTATCATTTCTGAAATTATTCTAGCACATGCTGCAATTATCCACTGTTTCATATTTTCGGGTGTAGTGGGTACTTCTTGATAAACAGCATATTTCAATGTTCCCCAGCGAAAAAAATCTAATGGGGTTAAATCTAGAGAACGGGGTGGCATAGAAACTAATCCTCCACATCCTATCCATTTATTTGGGTTCGGTGCATCTCTTACTCTTCGAGCATAATGTGCTGGACACCCGTCGTGCTGTAACCACATCATTTGGCGAACGTTTAGTGGTACATTTTCTAATAAAGCCCCCTATGAAATAATACAGCATGTGCTAGAATAAGTTCAGAAACGATAAGACATGCACGTGATACAGCGATACGAAGATTGCAACTTTGCATTGACGCAAACGGTCACCACTTCGAGCATCTCCTGTAATGTGAGAAAGTTTATTTTACTACCACATTTGACTTTGCATGACCATTCAATTATAGCTCGCTGAAGTCATCTCAACACCGGCTATCACATCGTGATAAAAGAACATAGCATTCCGTTAAAAAAAAGAGAGATGACCTTGAAATCTCCTCTATGCCTTCACCCACGCAGAAAATGTTTGTGTCACAATATGCCCCCCTCTATATCGTGTAAGTTTTGTATATAACATTCTTTCATATTACTACAAATAACGGCAATATTCAAAGTGGACATAGTTATTGCCTCACCCTGTATAAAGAATATTTCAAATTTATTAAGGATGCAGAAGATGCACTTCTTTTTATACTTTCCTTCATATTTTTTATTGTTTGAACAGTGGATTCATTTATTCCATATGATTTAACAATCAATGGGTGTCCTTCCCCATTTTCAAGCTGATTTAAAATTTTAATTGTCATGTCCAAGAGAATAGATTTTGTCTTTGTCAGTTTTCTTGAACAATTACTAGACATTTCTGAGTTACAAGAATTAATATACTTATCAGTAATTTGATATAAAGTTTCCTACTTACTATCTGTTTGGGAATTAATCCATTTTTAAGAAAATATCATTACTATTGTTCACAAGTGAAACGTATACTTAATATATGTACATATGTATTCACAAGGCTGTGTTTTTCTTGCTTGTTCCTATTTAACACTAAAATTATTAAACGTGCCAAAATAATTTCTTACATATTGTTATTCATATGGAATGATGAATTTTCTGAGATTTGCTGTAACTGTTATTAGAATGTATAAATGATCAAATATAATAGGACCCAAGTTTTGTTTTCAAAGAGTGTAACATTTAAATTTGTTATTACTATACAAAAAGACACATATTTTAAGTTTATAAAATAAGATGGCGTAAATGGAATGATTATTTATCACGTATAAAAAATATTACGAAAATGAAGGGATGAATGTATATTATGAATATAAGATAAGAGATTACTTTAATCACTAAATTGTGAATCCACTTTGAACTCTTTAATAAGAAGTAAATCAGTGAAATTTTTTAATTTTATATGATAGATGTATACCTACATGTAAGACCAGAGAGTATTCACAATACTGGTATTTACATTTTCTGATATTGTACATGTATATTTCATTTTCAATCTGTTTCAATGAAGGTAAACACATTTATTTGCGAACTAAAATATAAAATATTGCTAGAAAATTCTTTTATTCATAGTATTGTCATTTTACTGTTACCTTAAAATAAACATTGACACTAGAGACATAACAAAGGCAACAATTACTTTCTAATACAGCCTGTAAACCGTATTTTTAGAAAGGTATTACCATCACTGAACGAGGATTAAAACAATATTTTTTCTTATAGATACATTAAATAATAATATGTTATAAATGAACGTATTGTTTAACTTTCAGTCTTTGCGTGACCCTGATGGAAATCAGTATCATCCATACGAATATAGTCTTCAATTGTCTGCAGATGGAAATGTATTGTTAGTGCCAAGAAATCAGACAAATCCTCATCATCCGCGTTCTACAACTATGGAGCCGAAGACAAAGCCTAACCCAGAACATAAGGAATGAAATTGTCATGAAATCACATTTAAAATATTATTTTCCTCCTATGATGAACGCACTTAAAGTGTTATAGATGAAGACAGACGCGGTGCTGAGAATGAAAAGTACTAAGGGTTATTAAATACAATAATATAAAAACAGTTCATCCTGAAGAAAGTTCAGTGCTTAACGTTCGATACATCCTATATCATATTTAACAACGAAATTTTAAAAATTATTTTAAAAACTCACATTGAGTTATGTCTTTTTTTGGGACTGGAAAATAATCACCAAACATAGAAACAGTGATTGTACATATAGTAACATAAAATAGTTAATCTATAGAAAAAAAGTAAACCCTGCTCTAAAATTTTGTGTTACGTTTACATGCTTTTATTTATTACGTCAATGAATGATTTAATCATATAATGTTTCTTAAGAGAAAAAGAATAGTATATTAATAGTATATGTTCTAAAAGTTACTTTTTTTTATTATAGTCCACCAAAATATTATTGTAATAATCCAGATAAAATAATTCTTCTTTCTTTCTTTCAGTATACATGAATTATGCTTGTTAATTTTACAGAGTTCATATATGTGCGTGTATGTTTTTTATGTGCAGTGATTGTATTATATATATAAATTTATAAAAATGGTTCCCTGTTTAGAAAAGAAACATAACACATTTCGATGCAGTTGATTCATCTATGAATATACTACAATTTAACTAAGATATAGCTGAAATACATGTCAAGTCTAAACTATCGTATCGAAATGTGGTTGTAATAATTTTAATCTACTAAATAAATTTATTTCCAAAATTACCAAGTATCATGTGTATATGCATTTGGTAAAATTGACTGGTACACTGTAATAAGTAAGTCATAGATAACTCAATGCAAGTAAGGTGAAACATAAAATTAAACTACACCAGTCAGATGAACACTTTTTTGTTAATACTTTCACATATATGTGGTTTTAGGATTTTCATAATTTTAATCGCACAAGTGTAAGAAATGTGTAATGCAACATTAAATTTGCATTTAAAATGAACATAAAATGAAAGAAACAATTAAAATGACAAATGGAAAATATCTGAGTCATTGGATCCATAGACATAGAAATTTCTATGTCTATGATTGGATGTAACATGTTGTTTCAAGTATTTCATATTCTGTATAGGAAACTTCTCTCAAAAATGTGACAAAGCAGTCCACTTAAGCAAAACATTAACGAGAAATTGTAATGTACAATAATAAAAACATGTAGTAAGTAATGTAAGTATGTGCATACATATACTGCAATGTGTTTTACTGCTACAATATTCATAATAGTATTGATCAAAATATGAACAAACATAATAAATACACATATTTTTATAAAATAAGAGATGAGTGAAGTTCAGGTATTCCACATTTGCCTTTTTATGTATATATTAATGTAGTTAATATAATTTTTTATAAATATTATATATATATATAAATATAAATATTATATATATATAAGTATATAAATAGAACGTATGTATTTATGTATATGCATGTATATATATATAAATACATATACACAGAGTAAAAATGAGATATATGTTATAATGTTAAAAACAAACGAAACGGAAAAGCTGTTTATGCCGACAATTTATAGTAGTCAACTCTTTATTAATATTTACATACACAATTGTATTTATACTATTGGGTGTAGGCTGTCTTTACATACTGTACTTAGCGAGTGGAGATCACATTGTTAAAGACTATGATAAAAAGAATAATGTATAATAACTCTGTTCGTATATTGTACAAACGAACCACATTTATACGAATCTTTAATTCCATCTGATCACATTTTAAGATCTCCCATGTCATTAAATTTCTATATTGTATAAATAAAGCTGAATAAACCTTTGGGAAAAGTACTGTATGTACTTTGATATCACATGTACATTACTTACTTATGCATCCTTGCACCATTTCAGGAGAAATAAGACACTTAAAAAATTCTAACTGTTTTATCACAGCAGCATTTCATTATATATTACATTTTATATTTACACAAATAACACTATAAACATATTGTACTGTTCTCATACTATAAAAGAATTTTCAATTTCTAATTCCGATCATAAAATTTAATCACTGTAATACTTATACGCAAAAATAAAACAAATTTTTCACTCATTTTTTATTTTTTGTATAAGATAGTTTCAAAATGGATGTTCTAAATAATTGAATATAAATGTTAAATGCAATAGTTAAAAAAATGTGTGGAGAAAAATATTAAATTAATTAGAAAGAACAAGTGAAGTATTTTTTACTTATATTTGTGTTCATAAATATTACGAGTTTTAAATAATAAAAGAGATAAGTAAGCCGAAAGCATGTCGACACGCGTGCGTTTGAATCCCACCTTTAGCGCTTCACTAATCACAGTTGAATTGTGCGCTAAAATGACGAACGATCGTGCAAGATGTAAGTAAACACAGTATGTAAATCATTTTTAGCATTCAACGTATATAAATTGTCTAAATGAATTTCACATACAACATTGAACATCAACATTAAAGAATTCAACAAAAATGACACAGATATTTCTTAAAAAATTAGAATTCTTGTTTCACGAGTTTTACAAGTGCATTTGAAGTAAAGATGGCGTTAATGAGGATCTTAATGCGCCATTATTGCGCAGATGCATTGATGCAAGTTGCACCAAAATATTTTTAGGTTGTTATAGAACGAATAAGTAAACAAAACATGACACGACATGCAAGAAATTGTACTGCCGGTGCTGTTTATACATATCACGAAAAACGAAAAGACGCTGCATCATCTGGTTACGGAACCAACACGCAAAGAGTTGGTAAAGATTCTGTGAAGAATTTTGACTGTTGCTCTCTCACATTGCAACCTTGCAGAAATCCTGTCATAACGTTAGTTCTAGTCCAATTGAATCTCATAAATTTTCTTCACGTTACACTCTACAATACTACATCATATTTATTCTCATTTTTAGGAAGGATGGCTACTTGTTTGACAAGGAGGCGATATTGGAGTACTATCTAACCAAAAAAAAGGAATATGTCAGAAAACTGAAGGAATATGAGAAACAGAAACAGCAAGAAGAAGTTAATGTTGAAGATAATTGAGATAATAACTATGCCTATGAACACATTTTATTGTTATTAGAGTTGTTTTTTCAATTTATTTCTGGAAACAATAGTTTGTGTATGAATATTTTATCATTGTAGGTTGAATTTACAGCTTTCATCGAACCTTCCACGCAATGATTATATTCCAGATAACAATATTTATAATCAAAGCAAACAAAAAGAGACATTATGTTTATGTAAATATTACACATTGGACAATATTCATGTCTAGCTAGCCCTTATAACTTTGTTGTAGCTATAATGAACTATCAACTATTGAAGTTTAGCACATTTTCATCTTGAAACATATTATTAGAATTGAGAAGTGTGTATATAGGCACAGTATATCTTTACATGTGAATGATTTGCAATATAATTTCATAATACTTTCAGGAGCAATCTCATGAAAAAACTGCCAATGAAGAACTGCAGAAGTTACAGAACTTTCTAAAGGCAGAGAAGAATATTGTTTCAAGGAGCAAAAATAAAGCAGATGAATTAGCTTCCTCTGTTTCTAATATGTGTAATGGGAAGGATAAAATGCTACCCAGCTTTTGGATCCCTTCTAAAACACCAGAAGCAAAGGATATAATCTTACATAAGCCTGATAAGACAATTTATTGCCCTATAAGTGGAAGGCCTTTAAGAATAAAAGATCTTATACCAGTGAAATTTACAGAAGTGAAAGACCCAGATGACAAAAAGAGTCTTATTGTTAAAGAAGCACGGTATATGTGTCCCATTACACATGATATTTTGAGTAATAGTGTGCCTTGTGCTGTGATAAGGACAACGTATGGTTATTTATTAATATTTTCTATTATTATATAGTGAAAATGGTTGATTATTATTAAGTTTTATTCTAGTGGTGATGTGGTGACAATGGAATGTGTAGAAAAAATTATAAAAAGAGACTGGATTAATCCTTTAGATGGTATTAAATTGTCCACAGCAGATATTATACTCCTTCAAAGGGTAATGCAAAGACTTTGATTGGAATCACAGAGACTTGTGACAATAATAATAATAATAACAATAATAATATTATGTTTCAGGGAGGTACTGGATATGCTGCAGTTAATGAACAATTAGAAGGTAAACACGAGAGGCCAGTATTACAAGCGTGAATTCTACAATTATTTGAAACTTATTAGTTGAAATACTTTTAACATTATTTCTTAAAAATATGAATAAATTACATGTGGAATAGCAAATTTATTATAAATAATGTAGTATTACTTGCAAAAAAACAAATGCACAAAGTAAATGTATCTACGCATACTATATTTATAGAATTATTAATTAAATTAATTAATTGAATATTCATATCACATACAATTAAGATTTATTATTACTTACGTGAGTTAATTACTTAAATTAACTCAATTTACTTACTGTAATTACTTGAATGTCCATTGTAGATACTTTAAAACAATCCTGAATTAATACAATTATTGATATTACATTAATTAATTTTATAAATTGATATAAATACATACATAAATTATTTAGAGGACGAATTCTCGGTAACAAGAAATATTTTTATAACGTTAACATTCCCGAAATTTTATTGTAGTGGTATAAATTGTGTACTATGCTTAAAATAAACCACTACACAATAAAGGATTAAAAAATCTTGTTAATAATCATTATTCAGATCGATCATTCTTTCGTATTTCATATTATAATAAGTACGTGTCGCTTAAGGGGGGAACCTGGTTTATAGGGTCAAAATTATCGATATTTTTTTTTTAGTTTTAATCGATAGTATCACCGACTAGGTATAGAATAGACGTATCATCCAATGCTTTTTTCTGTCCCACGTTCGCAGGGCTACTACGTAGCCCTGTTACCATTTTAGTGTCAATATTCGACGTTACCGATAAAGCATGAATTCTGAGACGAGATATAAGAATAGATCTATATAACATGCAATGTAATTTTCTGTCCCATGCTTCTTGGCCGTCAGAAGCCCCCTTACCATTCTAGTATCAATACCTGACGTTACCGATAGAGCATGAATTCTGAGTATTATTAGCACAAATGAAGTGTTATATATTCCATCCATATTGCGTGTATCTATATGATTTGACGGGAATAAAAATATCCGATGCTTCAGTTTAAGGTATCATATGATAAATAATATAACAGGATAAATATGACAGTCATGAAACATGAAACGGAAAAGTATATATTTTTTCACTTAACTACAAGACAATTTATTCTAAATGTATCGTTAATGGACATTTTAATAATGTTACTTTTTACATGTTCTTGTTTTATTCGTTTTTATATCTTGCCTTACATTTGCATATTTGTAACAGATAAATTCAGAATAGATGTAGTTTCATAAATAGTTTATCAAATCTACATGTGGGAGAATATATACACCGCTTTTATTAACATTTACATATTTATAATTTATAGGGGAGTATGAATAGTTTTACTGCCTATTGTAAGAATCTTAATACGCACGAACAATTACTTTCTGGCAATTGGTAAATTTTTACATATGAATTTACTTACACGTTATTTACGTACAAAAATTTTATTTATTGCGAGTAATTAAATAATGAACGTATGTTAATATTCAGCTACATGTCTCTCAAATTAAGTGAAATACAGAAGTTTTATTTTCTTGAAAATTAGTGTCAAAGAATGCAGCAACTGGTCAGATTAGTTTCGTAAATAAATCGAAACACTGTATCGACACATTGTTTTTTAGGCTATCAAATATCACACGGAGTCTTTTAGGAAGTAGTAAAATCTTTTACACAAATTCAATTAAATACGTTCAGGTACCCAGTTTAAGGCTATGAAATTAGAATGTTCAAGAAGAGGTAAAGAAGTTTCATATTATGTTATTCCCATTCATTACAATCCTTTGCGGGAATGTTTTAAAAGGCATATAAGAAACGTTTCCCAAATGTTTAAAATTACGCTGAAAAAAATAAATCGATGATATAGAGTAACATTTTTTCATCCAAGGCTCAGTTCTTGAGAAAATGGTATTTGAAGATTCATGTGTAACGCGTGTATTCGTGTTTGCAATAAGTAGAAACGGAATGCAATGGACAGACACATTGCCAAGTCACCACGCAGTGTTAACGACGTATTCAAAATCCCACCACCCAGTGTTAACCACGCACCCAGATCTCACCAAACGTAAGACAGACACACACACACACACACACACACACGATGTGCTTTGAGGTCTGACGAAGAAACTTTCTTTCTGATTTTTTAGATATTATTAACTAAATTTGTATTTGATGGGATGTTGGGTTCGTAGTGAGATATTGGTTGCATGCATGGGCGTAGTCAAGGGGGGGTAGGGGATCGCACTTGGCCCCCCTGGACGGAAAAAAGTGATTTTTGCCCCACCCTACAAGAAAAAATTAGATTTTGAGCCCCCCCTACCTTCCCAGAGTTATAAAATTTTTGCGTTATATTTAATATTGCAGTCAAATTTGAAATACTATTTCAACGATTTATGACTTTAAAAACAAAATAAAGTGTGTGACTCGGAAATTAAGGCCGAATATGAGTTTTAAATTAGAACCAATTTCAAGGACTTTGACAACATATTCCAAAGTCATTACAATCGGTGGGGAGTACCGTTAGGTAAATAGTTGTCCATCATATTTTTGAGAATGTTTCGTATACGAATAAATACTATATACACAATAAATCAATTTATGCCTTTCATTATTTATTTTTTTTTGTATTAATATTTTAAACACTCCTAAAAGATAGAATTTATCTTCTTAATAGTATAGAACAAATCAGTATTACAACTAGACAAGCTAAAGAGTGCTAATCCGATACAGTAACTAAATTTTGCTTCCTGACATATAAAAGTTTAAAAATAAGCCTAATCCAATAATAACAAATAAAAATATAATACAATTATTCGAATATTGTATTTTCTTGTTGCACTGTTAGCTATATGTATACAAGTTGTTCTCGTTAAGAATATGGTAATATATTCGTAGGAATAGCAGGCACTCGCGTGTTCCGCATATGAAATTCATTCAAATAAGTATTACTTCGAGTTGGGGCTATTTCATGAGACATAAAAGTAAAATGTACAACACTACATAAATATTGAACCGCGTCGAGCATAGGTGTCAAACATTTATTCGATAGATTTAATCGTATTATAATTCCTTCATATTCTGTTTCCTATTGTTCCTTGTGCTGTATATACACACCAGAATTATTATGCAACTACTTATTAGTACTTTGTTATACAGACAAAAAAGTCCCTAAATCATTATTTTTTAAATACTATTAACTCTAAATACTACTGAAGCAGCTATCCTTAATTTGCATTTTATTCTTCTTTTTCAAAACGAAAGGGGAAGCATGAATCAATTCTTTTCATAGAACTTTTCACTCAAATGATTGAATTTATGCCTATAAAAACATATAGTTCGTAAAAACATTATAAATGTTTCTTTAACAATAGAATGCAGAATATTAAGAAATTGCTTACAAATAATTATATGAGAAGCTCTTTTCTTATGTACAATTAAAAAGGTATTACAGAAAGTTTTATTTTTAATATAATTGTGTAAGAATCACTCTTTGCTAAGGGTAGAAAGAATATACACAGTTTCTGATCATTTCTTCCACATTTTTTATATAGATATATTTTCTGGACCAACGTGCACTATAAACGACAGTTTATGCATTTCATATGTTTTCAATTACTTTATAATCATCATGGATAATATTAAAGTTCACATTATGTTACCTAACTAAAATTCTTAGGCAGCGTGATCGTAATATTTCTACTTAGAAAGTGAATATCATACGAAAACCACATTTTTATTGAATGAAAAGTACAATACATAGACTGCCAAAATAATGTTATGTGCGAAGATGTGAAATTTGTATTGATTCAATATCAATATTTATTTATACAATAGAATCAAATTTTATTTATACAATTCAGATTATCCTTAATATTGTACTCAAGTACTGAAATCTTATTAACAAGAATCACTTGTTAGACAAAGGACGCTGTACAACGTTTTCTAATAAAGGTAAAATGTTTTTCACATTAATTGGTGGAAAGAATCGTTGTATAATCCCTTAAGACGAGTCGAGGATCGTCACTCGCGACCTTGGCCTCTGTGGTGGTCGGGTAGCACATAACGCAAGACACACATAAGGGGTGCTAATACCGAGCACGCGATTCGATGTGTATAAGCTGGACTGCAAGGAAATCGTTGCGACAAATCCTTCGTCGTTCCGCGTTCTCGTTTCAAACCCATACAGCATGCACACTGGGTGAGGCACCTAAAAAGGTACACGTAAAACTTCCTTTCACATGTTACCACAAACAGTGGGTGATCAAATTATATTATTAGACACAGTACGAAAAATTCGTTTTTTTTTTGTGTTTTTATAGAAACAAAATCAGAATATCAAGCTTTGTACACTGGATCATTTTTAATTAATAATTGTCCACTATATAAAAAGATTAAACTTAGCTTATGTAATTTTCAAAAATACAGTTACAATGGTTAAATCGTCAATTTATGAAAGTAACTCTAATAATTCGAACGTCGGCTGTAAACATATCGTTAAAGATATATTTCTGGGGTTCTCAGATTGCAAAATATCGTAAGAAAAGAAACAAATACTTAATAATGATATTTTCGAGATTTGGAAATCTACAGCATTTTTTCGAATGAAGACGTACTTTCACAAATGTACAAAAATATGCTAGACCCGAGATATTAAGTGTTCAAATTGTGATATGAACATTTACACTGTTTTACATATTTAGTATGAAGTATTTTGCATACTTATGAGTTTTCTGATGTTGTGGTCCGATTTAAGAAGTGTTAGTGTAACACAGTCCACGAGAGGGAAGAAATTGATCGTTTTAGAGACGCTTTCATTCCTTCGAAAATACAAGTATGAGTATTTAAACTGTTGCATAATTAAATACTCAGAAATTGAAGATGCATTCTATGTGCTTATAATAGATACAATTAATTTAAATAAGAATTAACTTAGTAAAGTAACTTAACCTATAGTTTCTTGTTTACTTCATAAAACCATTACTAAACGAATAAATTCCTACTTAATTCTGGTTTTATAAAAGTTCAAT